TAATAAAAGCTAGTTGCATTCTAATTAACAATTAGATTACGAGCTGGAGATTTCTATGAGGTGATAGTTGATGAGGCTGAAGGCCGAATCAACTATCGCCTCATAGAAATCGTGAGTGAATAATCTAATTGTTTTAGTAGAATTCTTCAAATAATGATTCCAATTATATCTTAGTATTAAACTTCACACTTTAGAGAATTTGTGTGGTCAAATTGTTAATTTCGCATTGTGTAAATGTATGCACACTTATTAGTTTCTTTCAAAAATTTTCAAGCTTTTTTAATTCAATAAACTGTTTGTTTCTTCATTTGTTTCTAAATGTTCTTTCAAAACTCCAGAGAAATGAGGAAATGTTGCAACCTTGTCTTTCTCATGTTCTTGTTTTAATCTATGATGCAAATAAAGAGGGGTGGGGAAACATTTTGGGATGTGCTCAATGCCACGATTATTGTGCAAATGAATTCTACAGTAATACACCATGACTTGAACAGCTGAATGTAGTTACTTTATTTTCAACTGTCACTCTGACACTTTTTTCACATGGTACTATGCTACAACAATCTATCTACAATTATTGTTTCTGTAGTTTGCTGGCAAATAAATGATGCTTTCCAAAGTACAACAATATAGCATGCAGGGTGGTATATTTCTGCATAGCTGAACAGAACTCAGTTACTGGAGGAAAAAAATAACATCCTGGATGAAATAAATTCATATATTATTTAATGGAAAATTTTACTCTTACTTTGATTCAACCAACTTGAACTCAGTTAGTATACCTAACTGCATTCTAGTTCTAAAAACACAATTAGTTGAGAAATATGTCAACATTAATTATTTTACATTTTTCAGTTCAAAATTCTAAATTTCTATCAGTCTTACTGTTAATAACTCAAGTCACACTATCTGATGTTGAAAATTTAACATCGTTTCACCAGTACCTATCATCTGAGAATCTTTGGATCTCAAACATTTGTGCTTTTCAGTTATCACAAATGCTTAACTTGAGAATTTTTTTTTGTCCCTAATTTGTGTCAATTTGCATTTTTCCTCTGCCATTCATTTGAGCAGGGCAGGGGAGTGGTGGGGGCGGGGAGGGTAGATCTTATTTATAGCATACATAGTTCTTCACAGGACCAGGGAGGGGAAGATGTTGCACATTTTGGTCAATATCTCTTGATTGTAACACGTCAGCAGAGGACCCAGCAACTCCAATGGCTCCCTTGATTGTGTGCCTGATATTGCTGCGGCAAATCTCTTGCAGGGTGCGGAGTACTTTAATATCGCACTGGTCACATGTTCCACTCTTGACAATGTTCTCGTTTTCTTGATTTTGGCACTTGGAGCAGAAATGCTTCAGACAGGATTTGCACTTCAAGACAAAGAGAAGCGGAGTCAATATGCAAAATGTATTCTTGTAAGAAGAAATACAAAGTCCCTTTTCGATCCCATCACCACACCGTTTGTTTACAACCGTACTGCGACTTCTCTTCACTAAATGACACTTGTTATCTGTCTGTTATCTTCAAAAAAACTAAAACATATCTCTTACAGTGTAAGATAAAAAAATATTCCCTCAAGGACGTAGACTTGCAAAACAAAGACGTAAAAAGCTTAATTTTAAATTTCGGCAATCTCCAGAAAGGAACGTTTCATTCAAAGCGAAAAAAATCAGTATCGACGTATTAATTATTAATCCTAAAACGTGGTTCGCTCTGTCTTAGCTATTCTGTTGATTCGAGATCAAGTTCATCCTCGGCGCGAAACCTTTGTTTTGTTTCTGTAGTTTTGACACAGAAAGCCGGTAAATAATTATTTCACAACGATGTACACAAACTATAATTTATGTACAATATATATTTTTCCTTTGTACGCTGATATGCCACGTTACCATAAAATAAGGCTGATTATATACGTACCTGTGTCACAGATATTTGGGAACATACATCACAGAATTGTTTCTTACATCCATCGCAAGGTGGGTAAACGAGCCTCGCGTGAGACGAGCAAACAGAAACTGCGCGGACTTCATGGTCGCCACATCTTCGACAACGAAATCCACAGTTTTGGCAGAAAAATTTCCCACAAAAGCCATACTGACATTGCAACAGCGACCACTCTGGAACTATACGTCCACAGTCTTCACATTCGCCGTGAAACTCGTGGTAAAAATCAACCGCGTCACTGAAAAAATAACGAGCCGGCAATTCAACGTCCATTACGGAAGCCATTGAAGTGTCTGTTTGTAAACAAACCGTTGGATTTCCGGTAACGCGCGCATTTGCCGTACCGTGACATTTGATTGGCTACATCTTCGCCTTTTCATTGGTTGAAATATTTCAATGTTCTTTGATTTGATTGGATGAGCTAGGTAGGAAGATCCAACATGGCGGATGGAGAAGCGGAGAAAGAACTTACTGCAAAACAGCGGAAAAACCGAAAGAAGAAGGAAGCTGCAAAGCGTAAAAAGCAGGAACAGAAACTTCAGGTATCGTCTCTGGAATAAACTTCAAAATATGTTCAAAACATGTTAAATAAATGGTGTGTTTTCTCGCATATTTTTCAGGAGTCAGTCAATGTTTCAACAGAAAATACACCTGAAAATGTCGGAGATAAAACACAAGAAGCTGGTCAGGTGAAAAGATTAATCTCAGTACTAATTTTCTTTGTCAAAGCACCTCTCACCCCTGACATATGATCCTGTGTTATCTTCTTTTTGACCGTGTCAAAGCACCTCTTACACCTGACATATCCTGTGTTATCTTCCTTTTGACCTAGCTGGTTGTTTACCACAGTGTGACGTTGTCTACATTTAGTTGTGCATTGTTTAAAATTGTAAAATTTATTTTATAGTCAGCAGAAGACAAGTTTCAGTGCGAGCTGAATTGGTGCATCGAACAACTTGAAATGGGTCTCGCTTTTCAGAAACCTGACAAAAGACAAGGTAGTTATTTTGTTGCAAGATATATGTAGGAATATGATTTTATGAAAGTATGTTAAATTGTGCATAAAATTTGTAATGACTTACCATGATTGTAATTTGTGTTGCAAAAGTGATCGCTATTATCCTTGGTGGCCCAGGGGCAGATACCTGGGTCAGGAGAAGTTTTTTGTTCACATTGTGTTTGTCTGTTTGACTTTCCTCTTGACCTGACTATCTGCCCCTTAGTCTCCAAATATGGATCATTATAGATCCTCATTCTGATTTTTCTAATTTGCATTTAACTAAATATTGAACATCTTTCATTGTATTGTAGCTGAAGTTGTTCAGCGTCATTTGAGATCTTTAAACTCTTCTAAAACACCCATGGTAAGTGCACTGTATTTGCCTTCCTCTTTCCTATGTTCTGAATACAAAGATACAAAACCTCAGTTTGCTAGTGGGGTGGTTCTTGTCCAAGAAGTTTTTACACAACATAACCAGAGCGACNTCTTCAAGGTCAGCTTTTCCATTCTTACCGTGTCAAAATGAATATTTTTAATATAAACCTTCTTGGAGACTCATTTCTTCGTCAAGTATTTGATGATGGCAGTTTTAAAGGGATGCAAACCCAATTATTTTACTATTAAATTAATTCTTTCATATCATAAATAATTAATAAGTGAGCTTTCATGATTTTCTCAGGACCACCTCTGAATCCAAAGCTCTCAGCTGTCAGTAAGGAAGAACAAAGAAGTATATTTGTTAAAGTTTGCCAGACAAAATCTAAAGATTCAGACATGCAGGTATGTAAACAAAACATTTTACATTTAATTTACAAAATTTATAAGTTTGTATAGCAAACTAATGAAAACTTCATAAAACTATACCTCCAGAGCACACCTTGATCATTGCTTTTGCAAGTTTGTTTGTTTTTTTTTCACAAAATCTCTGTTGAAAAACTGACAGGAATGAGAAAATACTGATTGAAAAATAACAGAGAAAGCTCAAACATATGTCACTTACTAGTATAATATGTCCATACTAGTATAATTACAATGCTAAAAGTGTACTAGGTAACCATAAGGGTCTCAGTTTGAAGTGTTCTCTGTTGTCAAGGTTAGAGAAGTTTACTCTGGATTATGTTCAATGAATAAACATTTGTACATGGAAGTTTGAGTTGCTAAACTCAGGGTGCGGCTACTCTGTGAGTGCGGCTTATCTGTCGGTGTTTATGGTACTCCAGTATATATTAGTTTCTGATGAGATCATTTCATTTGCAGAGCGAGTTAGCAGTGCAGAAAACTTTTTGCAGCTATTTCTGCTAAATGGAAATTGTAATTTATTTAATCTTATTATTTTTAATTTTTTTTTTCAGAGACACACAGATAAACCAGATGGGACACTTAAAGATGGCTGGAAATTTGAAAAATCAGGCAATGAATTCAGATTTGATTTTGGTAATTCAGAAAGTTAGAAATGGACCAAGTCAATATACTTTTACAGAAGGCTGACATCAAGACCATGGCAGGCCAAGGTGAAAGCTTCCACATAAGGTGTTCACTCCTCTGAAAATTTAACATGTCTGCAGACCAACAAGGTGTCCAACTTCGTAGGATACATGTAACTTATAATAGTATTGCAGCACCAGGAATTCAGAATGCTTAGAGATA